AAGCAAAGTCATAGTTCACTCTTGTTTCTTCCTTTTCTCTCCAGGTAGTTCCAGTTTGCCAGCAGAATGAACACAGAAAGAGACTCAGAAACAACATTTGATGAGGATTCTCAGCCCAATGATGAAGTGGTTCCCTACAGTGATGATGAAACTGAAGATGAACTTGAAGATCAGGGGCCCGCACTTGAACCCGAACAGAATCGAATCAACAGAGAAGCAGAGGACAAGCGGGAGACACTCCGGAAAGGTGACCGAGTGAAGGGCCTGCTGATTGTGTATATGTGTGGATGCCTTATGGGTCTTGGGAATTGTACCAAAGCTGAGTGGTCCATTTTATGGGCTCTAGGAGGGTTTCTTCCTTCTTTGATGCCCTCCTAGGATGGGATTGAGAAAGACCCATCATCCCCAATATGGGGAGGCTGTGAGAACATATCTGACAAGTTCTGTCAAGAAATTAGAAGGTTTGGTCAGTGCATATATTTTAAAAGTGAAATTGTGTTTAGAAGAATCAGCTTGCTACTGCATTCAGGAATCTAAAAAGTATGCATGCCAATCATAATAACAATTTGTTTAAAGATTTGCCTTGATAAATTGTCAGCATAAAGTTACAAATAACCAGGGATGGATGCAGGATACACACACACACACACACACACACACACACACACACACACACACACACACGCACACACATAAAAATAAGAATGTGTGTGGCTCCATTAAGAATTTATACCTGAAGAGCTGGGGAGGAGGCTCAGCGGGTAAAAGCACTTAACTGAGTACGCATGAGGACCTGAGTTCAAATCCACAGCACCCTTGTAAAAAGCAGGGTATAGCCTCTCATGGGAGCTTACTGGTTGCTAACCTAGCTCTAGGTTCAGTAAGAGACTTTGTGTCAAGGAAGTAAAAAAAGAGTGATAGAGTAAGACACAGATGTCTTCCCCTGGCCTCTGCACACACACACCAGCACATACAATTGATCATACACCATACATGTATGTATGTGTCTATGTGTGTTGGTTCATGGCCCACGAATAGATTAACAAGAACAATATCCACACACAATTTTTACACTGTGCTAAAACTAATGTGCCTTGGCAAATCTTCAACCTGTGGGTACCTTCTTTGAAATGTTTCTCTTCTCTGCTCATCAGAGATCAGGGGATCTCACAGTGAGGGCAGCTTCCCAAAGAGCTCTCAGAGGCAAGGACCCTTTGAGGAGTGATATTGGAACATCTCATCAACTGTACATTTTTGGCATCAGGACATTAACTCTGAGCCTCTTATTTTTTTAATTTTTATTTTCTTTTATTAGTTCAAATTAGGAACAAGCTTGCTTCAGATGTCAATCCCTTCTCCCTCTTCTTCCTCTCCCCCCAACATCCCACCTGCCCCTACCCATCCCCCTTCCACTCCCCAGGCAGGGTAAGGCCCTCAAAAGGGGCTCCCCAAAGTCTACCACATCATCCTGGGCCAGGCCTAGGCCCTTCCCCATGTGTCCAGGTCTGAGCCTCTTATTATCCCCTTCAACTTGTTCTTTCTAGGGCTTCCTGGCACTTTAGAGGACCTTGGGAGTCTCTATACCTTTTGTTCAGTTACTCATGAATATAAAATGGCTTTGGCCCTCCAGAAATAATTTTTATTGATTATGTTTGTATGTTTATTTTTAAGATATTTTATTAATTCTTTGAGAATTTTATACAATGCATTTTAATTATATTTATCCCCAGTTCCTTCCTTTAATTCCTCCCAGATCTACCTCCACTCCCCTACTCCCTTAGTATTAGATCTTTTTCTTTTAATTTAATAACCCTATGTCTCCAGCATGTGCTATCCATAAACTGTTGGGCATGGTGCCATCCACTGGAGCATGCATAGTTGGTCAATCTTCCAGGAATCACCCCATAAGAAAACTGACTCTCTATCCTCCAGAAGCTATCAACCATTTGTAGCTCCTCAGTTAAGGGCAGGAGCTTCTAACCCCATTCCCATTCCTTGCTTGAATTTTGACTGGCCTGATCCTGTGCTAGCAGCCACAGCTGCTTGAAGTTAATGAGTGCCTTAGTCATATCTAGAAGACACTTTTGCTCTGGTCCTCTCCAGCCTCTGGCTTTTATAATCTTTCTGCCATCTCTTCCTTGAAGATCCCTGAGCTTTGGGAGGAATGTGATATAGATGTCCCATTTGCGGATGAAGCACCCTTCACTGCACTTTGACCAGTTGTGAATTTCTTCACTACCTACCATCCCTTGCATGAAACTTCTCTAATGAGCTGAGAGAGCTGCACTAAACAATGGATAAAGAGATAGAGATTTAGAAAGCAGTTTCGTCACTATATCCATTCAGGAAAATAGTAATAATAAGTTCACCCCTGTGGCCTGTAAACTCCTCAACCATTGGTTCTTGGCTTGATTTGCAGTTCCAGACACACATTTCCATCTGGGAGGCAGGGCCTTAAATTAGAGCAGGAAGTGGTTGGTTACCGGCACAGCCTTCATGCCACTGTCACAACCCTGGTCATATCCTGTCACGCTGGCCATTATTGAAATTCAGAGTTCACAGCTGAAGCTGGGCGTTGATGGTGTACGCCTTTAATCCCAGCACTCAGGAGGCAGAGGCAGACAGATCTCTGTGAGTTCAAGGCCAGCCTGGTCTCCAGAGCAAGTGCCAGGATAGGCTCCAAAGCTACACAGAGAAACCCTGTCTCGAAAAAAAACAAAAAACAAAACAAAACAAAACAAACAAAAAAACAGAGTTCACAGCTGAGTAAGACTGTAGATGGCTTTTCCCCTCAGAAGTCTTCAAAGTACCCTCTAGTATTAAGAGAACTACCCAGCAGAGAGAAAGTTTTCTGTTTAGTCCCAACCTGATTTCTCCATGCCCTATAACCAAGGTGTGTGGTATAAGGAACTTTTTAATGGGTCTCTACTTGCCCTCAGGGGCCATTCTGTAGCAGCCTATTTCCCTTGCCTGAATTCAGACACAGGAGTGTAGATAGGGAGCTTTTCATATGAAAGGACAGACAGGAAATATTTTAGGTTCTCCAGGCCACATAGTCCTTGTCACAACCGCTCTACTCTACCAATAAACTGCTGTGGACAGTGGTCACTTGGGGCTGCAGAATGTGGCTTACTTTCATCCTTATATTTTGCCCTGTGGCTTTATTGGTTCCCGCTGCTTGCCCCACCCTGACAAACGAATGTGACCTTCCTTGTCTTATGGCTTGTCTGGTCCTGAAAACAACAACAACAACAACAAAAAAAAAAAATTAGGGCTTTTCTCTTTGGACCCCAGGCTTGTCTGGGATTCAGATTAATGTTTGGTTTTGTTCGTTTGTTTATTTTACTCACTGGCTGCCCAGTTTCTAGCAGGAGGAACAGTTTTTCATAGCTGAGTGTAGCTCACCGTGACTTCCAGTCTTCCCGATGGTTTCAGCACAAGGCCCTGTGCTTCCCCTGAAGTCTTGCCCATTTTGCCTTCCAGAGCTTTGTTTTCTCCCCTGTCACTCTTTGCCCCTACTTTCCTTTTTTGCATCTGCCCCTATTTAAGCCTTCTTATCCCCCCCACAGTTATTTATTTATTTATTTATTTATTTTAAATTTTATGTGCATTGGCATTTTGCCATGGGTGTCGGGTCCCTTGGAACTGGAGTTACAGACAGTTGTGAGCTGCCATGTAGGTGCTGGGAATTGAACCCGAGTCCTCTTGAAGAGCAGTCAGTGCTCTTAACTTCTGATCTATCTTTCCAGCCCTACCCTGAACAGTTTTAATCTGTAGAAATTGACAAGTGCCAGGGGTAGCAGCACATATCTGTAATCCCAGAATTCAAGAGGCTGAGGTAGGAGGATCACAGGTTCAAAGCCAGTCAGTCCCAGGTCAGCCTGGGCTATATATCAAGATCCTGTGTCCAAAAAGATCAGAGAAAAGAAAGGGGTGAGTTTGTAATCCCATTTCTATGATGGTTATTTCTTCCTAATTCTAGTGAGATTGGGTTACTCTCCATCCCCTACTTCCCCATTGTGGTGGAGTGCAGTCTTGTGTGTGTGTGTGTGTGTGTGTGTGTGTGTGTGTGTACAAAAGGATTTAAGGGGGCCTCACTCCACCATAGCCTCTGAGACCCACAGAGGCCATCCAGTCCTATGAGTCATCTGCTCTCTAGCTCTCATTGTCACTAAATGGGTGGAATCTGTGGGTCCTCTCAGTCCTCTTATACTCAAGCACTATTGGGCTTGCTGCCCAAAGTAGGAAATATGAAAATCAGAATCTTGATTGAAATTAGGATGAAATCACATTGACCTGAACAGGAAGGTGGCCTCTTGTTCCAACAGGTCCCAACTGGTAGTGTTGGAGTGGGGACAAAGCTGAAGTAGACCGACAAGTTCATGGGGAGTTCTAGCTGATTGCCTGGTGTGAATAAAAAGCTTGCTTCTTCCTCATTCCTTCCCCCACTGCCTAGCTGCTATCATAATCTCGGAATCTCTGCAGTGTGTAGATAGCCTGGGAGTTGGCAGGAGTTTTGTATCTGTAGGGTGAAGGGCAAACATTTGCCATTTGTGCCTGGGGCCACACAATCAGATAAATGGTCCAGTGAAGGGACTGGGGTTGGATGCCCACAAAAATGTTGGAAAAGCACATCACAGGTACAAACATCTCTTCTGTTTTTTTCCAACTCAGCCTGCACTTTGTGGTGGTTAGAGCCCTTTACTGATCATTTGATGATCATTTTCATAGATTCCTTTCCTTGTTCTATGGGCATTGATGGAGCTTGGTCTTTTAAAATATAAATTGTTTTAACATTTTGTGTGAGTGTGTGTGTGTGTGTGTGTGTGTGTGTGTGTGTGTG